CTTGAGATACTTACAAATTAAAAGTAACATATCACTGATTATACCCACACCTAACAATTTATATACATTGTCGAACTGTGCTAATATCTGGATAATGAAGGTCAAGATAACTGTAATTCTGTAAGAGTTGGGGTTACTCAGTAACCCTCTATTCCTTAAGGATCAATTTACCAAGGACAAGGAAGTGCTTTTTGACCTTAAGAATTTCAGGAACCACCTACATAAGCCCTAGAATTGTGTTAAACTTTCTAAAATAAAAAATTAAAGAATAAAAAAAAATCTAAAATGTTTACCATGGTTTAGTTGATTCTGAGTAGTTCTCAAAATTATAATCTTTTGACATTTGATTTGTGAATGAATGAAATACTCAGAGAAAGCAAGACATCAAAACTGTAACCACTTGCTACTAAACTGAACCAGTTTAATTCTAAATGAGTAAGGCTCAAGTTATCCAACACTCTCTCCTTGTAAACTCCCAGGGGCAGGGAACACTGTTGTTCATTTTCCACTGAGTTCTCTTTAGTGAATCTCCATGTTCTGGTTTGCTTTTTACAACGTATTACTGCAATGAGATATGAAAACATAAATAATTCATTATCTTAAAAAACAGTTCCTTGTAACTCAGGAACTCTACTGACAAAGAGGTAAATAATATGAGAGACAAGAGAATGCATCCCAGGAAATTAGGAGATTGTCTTAAATAGAATAATGTAACTGGCAATCCTTCTAATTCCATACTACCTTTCTCTGTTGTTTCTGGTATTGAACACATGTTCTACCACTGAGATACATAACCACCATCCCATAACCCTTTTCAAATTAAATTACAGCCATTTTCACAAACTGGTATTCTGGTCTTCTGTCTTTGCCTCAAAAAAAAAAAAAAATTGAAGTCATTAGAACAAATCTATGCAACCCACCAACTAAACTTTTACCTGAAAAGTCTATGAACCTAAGAGAAAACAATACATCCTAAAGATAAAGATACAACAGGACCTAGTGGCATATGACTGCAATCCCAGCACTCAGAAGTCTGATGTGAGGATCACAGAAAACTTGAGGCTAGCCTGGGCTACAGAGTAAGACATATAAAACAAAAGGAAACGCAAAGACAGGCTCATCAACCAGTAAAATCCTCTGCTTCTCTGAGCCTCCTGTCTAGAGACTGCTCCCAAGTCCCAGATACTAGATTTAGTAGAAAAGCTATTATTTCCCATCTTTACCAATTAGCTAAATTTACTATCAATTGTATTAGAAATATATAAAGTAATTATAAAATCAAGTTATTTATAAACATTGGGATATGTTTAGTTTGATGGTTTGTATTTGGTTTGTGAGGAAGGTTACTGTTTGTTTTTTGTCTTCCTGGTTTTGTTTTTCTGTTTGTTGGTTTAAGACAGTGTCTCTATCCCTAGCTAGACTTAAATTTCTAACCATCCTGCCTTTAACTCCGTACCCCATTTATACAGTGCTAGGGATCATGATCAAATCTGATACTCCATGCATGTTATGCAAGCACTCCACCAACTAAGCTACATTCCCCCGTTTGTGCTATCTATACCCTAGGCAAGTTTGTCTAGGTCTAAGTATTAATAAAATTTGGCATCTTGTTTAAATAGTATTTCCCCCTTACAATGTCATTTTTGGCAAAAAGAATTATTGTTTCAAGTAGTAAAGCATGGGTGAGGTACTAGGTTCTGGCAAATAAAGTCATCTTGAGGAAAAATAAATAAATAAGTGTAATGCCCCAGGTCTATAATCCCAGAAGCTGGCAGGGTAAATTCAAGGCCAGCCTAAGCTGTATCTAGTGCCTGCCAGGTCAACCAGGGCTACAGAGTAAGATCCTGCCTCACAAAAGAAAACAGACAAACAACTTAAATGAAACTAATTCTTTATCACTATGCATTCGGTGATGTATGAGAATAACTTTTAAACTGACATTCCACAGCCCGTTTGACCCATATTCTATTAGAAGGGAAACGTACAGTATCACATAAATTCTTTTTCTCTTGGGGATTTTTCAAAGGCCTCTTTAAAAATCAGTTGTAAATATGTGTTTAAACATGTTTCACTATCTCATTGCAAGTTAAAAAACAATTCACACAGCAATCCATTATACTTTGTGATGGATTGAGAGAACCAAAGGGGATCCTGCACAATCCTCACTCCTGCCGTGCTCCTTTGAAAAGCATGGATGAACACAGAGAGGACTCCTCGTTTTCAGAGTTGCTTACAATCTTACTTTTGTTTCCTAATTTTAAGGAAGAAATGTACTGAATTTTTTAAAATCTTGCATTTGTAAAATGAAATACTTCCAGATTTATAAGTATGCTATAAAATGTGTGCATCTATCATTTACTTAAACCAACATGTTTTTACCATGCAATTTATAAAATAAATCAATAACAAGCACTGCATGGAAATAAATCTTTTTTAATTAGCAATAGTAAGATTCTATTTACTTAAGTGAAGAGTATGAATAACAAAAGGCTCAGTCTCTATCCTGAGAAAAATAAATATTTTAATGATTTTTTAAATACACATCATTATCAATTTCTTTGTATGGATCTAAAGAACAAATCAAACACATTATAGTTTAGAAATTAAAAATGCCACAGATCACAAAATAACTATTCTATATTCAAACAAAGTCAACATCATATTATAGGATTACAAAATGACCTTGAGACTTTGCTGTCCAGTTACCCAAGGGGCCCATTTCCTTGCTGAAATTATCTATTTTTGACAGAGAAAACTCACTACACAATGGATGTACCTGCCCCTCCAAGACTCAACTTGAAGCTTTTTATTTTATTTTATAGGGAGTATGAATTAATAAAGCAAAAACACTCAATGTGCACAAAGGGTCGAGGACACATTTTCACTTTTAAGGCACTGCACAAGAGGAGTAAGAAAATGCCACAACGTACTCAAGTTTTAGCACACACTTCCAGAAATTTTACATAAGTTCAAGAAACTTACACACCTGCTTTTATTATTCATGACAACTGATTTTTAAGACTAATTTCTAATACTCAAGATATATACCCACAAATAATAAATAAATAATACAGTTTATATGTCCACCTCAATGCCCCTGTTATTTTAATTAAAAATGTACACTTTCCCTGGTCATAAAAATCTGGTTTAGATGTTTTAAGTTCAAATAGCTATTAAGCTACACTTTGCTTTGGCACTAGCTCCCCCTCTAGACCAACCTAAAATAACTGCATTTAAAAAAACAAACAAGAAACAAATTTTTGTAACCCACTAGCAAATTTCAAAATTCATCACTTTTGAGGACATTGTTATTCCTTTTATTTTAAAAAAAGGCTGCTTAGAATTTATTTTTTAAAAGACTGCGTTATATAACCAGAATGCTTGTCTTGGGCTCAGTTCTACACACCTTAAATAGAACTGATTTGTGGGGAAAACAACCTCAAATGACTTTAAATTTTTTAAAAAAAAAATCCTTAAAATACAATCTGTAGTGTACCATATGTAAATTATTTTGAATCACTCTCCTAGTAGATCACAAGACACCCTTCACATTAACTCACTATCTGATCAAAGACATCTCTGCACGTTCCTGCAATCTATGCAAGTCTCATTACAGCTGCTCAGCTCTTCAACTCAAACAGAATTCTCGATTTATAGAAGAGCAAACGGAAAACCCATGCCTCCAAACCACCCTTGGAGGCTCCTTATAGCCTATTCATCTCTCGTTCCCTACATTTTTAACCGGCCTGTAATTTCAAATGCTTGTATGTGCTAAGACACTGCAGTGTTTGTAATTAAGACTTCTTATTTCACAGGGACAGCAATGTGGAGGACCGTATTATTGGCACAGACTTTTAGGCTGCCTTAAAGAAAAGTAACATCTTACTCCTTTGCTTCAGTGTACGATTTCTCTCCTAAAACGCTTCATATGTGATACAACCTTTAAAGGCAGTATGCGTATAAGATAGAACTTTAATCAAGAAAATAAATAAGGACTACACCCCAGGAAGAGCAAGAAAACTAAGACCTACTTAAGAGTTTCTGCGGAGCAAAGGCAAAGTTAAGTCAGTGAGTTGTGATAAATTTAACTCTTAAGCTGATAAAAACTTGCGTTGCATTTTATTCCCCGAAACCTCTAAATTCGGAGTGATCTACTGGAGGGTATAGTTTTCCTGGGTTCACCTTACGTTTCCTTAAAAGTAACGTGCAAAACTAGACACAAAACCGAAAAACACCAATCTCCTCGCTTTTCTCCAAGGCCTCAACAATGTTTAAAGACAAAACACTAAAAGCTCACCAGGGTGCTAACCCCTAACCCTGACAATGCCATTTAACTTAAGAAATACGTCTCTGGAGGTTGCGATGCCCACGTCCAGAGAACAGGTGCTGCCACCGAAAAATACCCTCAACTCCAGCAGGACAGACCTCGCAGAACTGAGATGACTCATTTAACCTTCCCAAATAAGTTGAGACACTCCAACAGCCGCCAGCTTGTCATTTGCAGATCAAAGGAAAGGGGGCTACCGAGGCACCCAAGCCATTAACTGCCCACCCTCAGCGGATCTTTGTGCAGGTTCACTCCGACACCCAGCACCCGAAGTCCACACAGAAACCCCGCAAAGCAGAGGAGCCCACCTTCCCACGGTCTGACCGCGGGGACCCGGCTGCGGGGGTGAAGGAGAGGAGCGGTAGGTGCAGAGATGCGCTGAGGGACACCTCCCACCCCGCCCCCATCCCTCGGGTCCCGGGCTCCGCGGCCCCTGCCCTGAGCCGGGATGCAAGACGCCACGGCACCCCTCACCCTTCCCCGAGCCGAGGCACCGCCGGGGCATCTCGGGGTCTCCCTCCCCACTTTTCCCGGGGCCGCGGGATGAGCAGCAGCAGCAAGCAGCAGTTGCAGCAACAGGCCTGGGGTCGGCGGGAGGAGGAAGGAGCGCCCGGAGCCCGGGCTCCGCAGAGCCCGCCCCGTCCTGGAGCCCGGCTCCCTAACGCCCCCTTACCCGAGGCGGGAGCGAGGCGGTCGGCGCCGTCCCCCGTCGCCACCGCCACTGCCTTCAGCCGCAGCTGGCCGCGCCGGGAGAGTGGGAGGGGTGGCGGGGTGGAGGATGCTACTCCCGACTGAAGGGAGAGGAAGAAACGGAAACAGGAACCGCGGCCGCGGCCGCCGCTTAACGGAGCCTTCGGCGCCACTGACTGAGGGAAAGCGCAAGGCGGCGCGAGCCAAGCAGCGGCTGACAGCGCGAGACCGAGCGCGAGCCGGGTCCAGGGCGCGCGACCCCGAGCAGCGCCGGCCCCATTCCGTGAGGAAAGGGAGGAACGGGTTGGCTGGGAGCCGGGAGGGGGCGGCGGGGGCCGGGAGCCGAGGGAACCCGGCCACTCGGGTCGGCCCGAGACCACGCGCGCACGCGCCGGAGTGGCTCCGACCCGGAGCGCAGGCGGGGAAGCCTCCGGCCGGCCGGCGCGAGCGAACGGGCGGGCGGGCGAGCGAGCGTGCGCGCGCGGGTAGGGGCGCGCGCCCCTCGGCGTCCCAGCCTTCTGGGGGAGGGCGCGCATGCGCCGGCCGCGGCCTCCTCCAGCGACCCTGGCACGTGCACAGGCTCCTCCCCGTCCCCTTCCTCTGTGCGGGTGGACAGCGGAGCTGCAGCATCCCCGGGGCCCGGCGGGACCCGAGTTCCAGCGGGGCCGGGGCCGCGCGCGGGCTCGGGCTCCGGTGCACACCGGCCTTAGGCCGCCTGAGGGCCGGCGGCTGAAGGGAATGACGCTCCCTGCGCCCTGGAGGCCAAGCCCGTTGCCTGGAGCTCAGGCGGGCTCCGCGCTACTTTTCGGGGTGCTCCCTCTGCTCATCCGTTGCAGCACGAGCACACGATGGCACCGCTGCCACGGCGGCTCTGGGCGGTCCGGCTACCCTGCGGGCTCTGTCTTCACCTCTACGCGAAGACCCCCTGCAAAGGGCCCGAGTTCGAAGCCCGGCCTCCCCGGGCCGCAGCTGCCACAGCCCTTCGGAGGCGGAAGTTTATTGAGTACGAGAGAAGGGAGGGAGAGGCTTTTCCCTGGAATGCTTCCTACCCGCTCGCACTCTGGGATCCTGGCGCCCGCGCTGCTGAGCCGTGGGCCGAAGGGCTACCTCAGATCGGCCCGCGGGGCGAGTTGAGCGGGAGGACCCAGCCGCGCCGCCCCGGCACACAAAGTAGTCGCGGGCCGAGGGGTGCCGTCGTGGCCAATCAGAGTCGGGAGCCCAATGAGTGGAGTGCGAACTGGCCAATCAGAGGGCCGCAAGATGAGCTTCCCGTGCCGAACTCTTCCCTGTAGCCTGGGGACCCAGATCCCGAGCTGGAGGGTGCAGGCGGGTGGCTGGGTGGAAAAACTACCCTCTCGGCACTGCTCTGTTTAAGTAGATACTGTGGATACTTACCTCTTGGAAAACAGGACTGGCCTTTCCGACGCCAAGTATCAGAAGGCTCACAGAGAAGACATTAAAGGGGCCGAAGCCTGCCAAGAATGCAATCTGCCTAGTAGCGCCCATAAATTCCCAAAATTTACTCTAGATCAGGAACTGTGTTTCTAAAATGCAAAGAGGACACTGCTTTCAAAAATGAAAACGAAAAAAATCCGTGCCTTCAGCAACTCCGCACCCGAAAGCAGTGACTGGGTTAAAGACAGCCCTTGAAATAAAAAAAAAGTACTCTGAAGTGCCTTGGAGAAAACACACTAATTTATTGAAGGTCACGCAAAACTACTCAGGCAGGGACCAGAATTATGTTCTAGCCAAGGAGTTTCAGTCATCGTTCAAGAAATCTCTAGTCATTTATTAAATGCATGGATACTGGCTATCTTCCTTGAAACTTCCAGTTAAGCTGTGTGAAACACATTCTTTGGTTGTTGCAAACACAAACTTTAGGCTTATACCATTCTTAGATTATTAAAGGCTAAAGTTTCATCAGTCAAAAATCTGAATTATTTTCCCTTTTGTGTGAGATTGTGTATGCCAGGGATGTGTTTTCCCGTAGGCTATACCCACAACCTAAAATTTGAGGAGTCAGTGGTAGAATGTTTACTTCGGTGTGTAAACACAGCATTTAAAAAATATTTTAACAAGTATGTGTGACTTGAATGTTTTCAAGGGAAAAAAGCCATTTCTAGTTAATAACACACTTTATGGTTTGTAGTACTTGATCTCCACATTCAAGGCTTTATGTTTGCCTCAAAGTCTCTGGTCCTTTAATCTGGCCTTTAATTTTAAATATTAAATATCTAGGAATCAAAATATTTATCTTCCCCACCTACTTCCTATCCAAATAATAATGATGATGATGATGACGATAGAGGTATTTTTCAGGAACTTAGCACATTTTTATAAGATAGCATCATATATATGAAAGCACCAAACTGGGATACAGTCAGAAATTAGTTCTTACACAAGTCTTCGGTGTGACAGTATACTGTTATCAAAGCTCTCCCTAGGATATGCCCAGGATGTAACTACCCTCCCAGAACTGGGAGTATCAACTACACAATCGATGTGTAAGAGCAAAGCTTTACACATTCAGTTCAGGGCCAGGAAAGAGTTCCTGAAAAAGTCACCTCAAACAAAAGTACTGGCCTCTTTGAATGCAGAAAAGCAGTCTTGGCTTTTTAAAAACCACAATCCTAAATCAATCGGGGTGGTGCATGCTGCTAATCCCAGCACAGAGGAGGGAAGTCTGGGGCAAGAAGATTGTTGTGAGTTATAACCAGCCTGACCTATCTAGTGAGGTCAGTGCCATCCTGGGATGCATAGCAAAACCCTGTCTCAGTAATAGTGGTTAACTGAGTCAAAAATAAAAATGGGGAGGGAGGGCTTGTCTAACAGTACGAGCCCTAGCTTCAACCTCCAATACTATAATTCTCTGCAAAGAGAACTCCTGAAACTCACATCTTTGCCTTGCCCTGTTAAGCTTCTGAGAGAGCGTCCCTAAACAGTTGGGCGGGTGTTTTTCTCTATAGGCTCCAGCCCCCACTCTGTGGCTGAAACTCCTCACTCTCTCTTCTCAGTCCAGCTGCTCACTGGGGACTCTAATCCCCGGTTTCTGATTTGCATCAGCAGGAGATAGTAGGCCACCTCATCCTTCACTGCTGCTCCTTCACCGAATGACCTGATGGGCCTACCTTTGCTTATCCTCAAAATCGCAGATGGGTTCTGCCCAAGAAAAGAGTTCTTCGGAACTTTCTCCATAGCCTCTTATGCTAAGAACTAGCAGGGCCCTGCCAGCTCATCACTTCCCTGCGGTTCAGCCTGGGTCAGTTCTTAGTCATCCCCTAGAACTGTGGACTTGACCGAGAGGTGAGAAGGTGTCAGCTCGATAATGGAAAATATCAAAATGAAAGTGAGGTACATGAGTGGCCATTTTATTGAGAGATTAGCTAGATCAAAGTTAATGAACTTGAATGCTATCACATTTCCTAAGTTGTGAACATTCATGTAGAAACCAGCTTGAAATTTACTACCATTTTATTAGGCCTATAATAAAAATAATAGCGAAGGTGTAGCATTGCTGAGAACGGGGCCCCATGCTAAACTCTTTTCTTCCATCATTTAATTCTCAAATCAAACCTTTGAGGTGAATCCTATGGCTATGGTGGGGAAATCAGTGGGGTCTCAGGGGTGCCTGAGGCTCTCAAGAGGCTCAGCGACAGCTGCTTGGCAAGCAATTTAGAAACTTTGCCATCTCTACCGATGTCCACCAACTGATGTCACTCTGAAAATATTCCCTCTTTTACTTTTAAAGATGTATTTAATTTTAGCCGGGCAGTGATGGCATGAGTCTTTAATGTCAGCACTTGGGAGGCAGAAGAGGGCGGATCTCTGTGAGTTCAAGGCCAGTCTGGTCTACAAGAGCTAGTTCCAGGACAGGCTCCAAAGCTACACAGAAACCCTGTCTCGAAAAGAAAAGAAAAGAAAAGAAAAGAAAAGAAAAGAAAAGAAAAGAAAAGAAAAGAAAAGAAAAGAAAAGAAAAGATGTATTTATTTTTATGTACATTGATGTTTTGCCTGCATATATATCTGTTCAAGGGTGCCAGATCCCCTGGAACTGGAGTTACAGACAGTTGTGAACTGCCATGTTGGGTGCTAGGAATTGAACCCGGGTCCACTGGAAGAACAGCCAGTGCTCTTAACTACTAAGCCATCTCTCCAGGCCCTGAAAACATTTTTAATAGCTTTTAATTTTCTTTGTTTTATAGTGGTTGCCATACGGCATTTCCTCTCTGTAGTACTCTATTTTGCAGGCAATCATATGAAGGATGATACACTCTTGTTGCCTCAGACAAGAAGATGGGAGCTTGAATAATGAATGCCACTTTTGAGCAAAGTCCTCATTTGAAAGCTAGAGCTAATCATTCCCATCAGGAGAGTAAATGAAGTGACTGATTTAAAGGCTGATGAAGCTAAGCCCACTTTCTCTGACTTGCCTCCGTAGCCGACATTCCTGTCTTCATTGAGTGTAAGCCACATACACTTCATACTGTCGATTTACTTGCTATCTGCTCCAGCACCCCCTATTAATAAGAGTTTCTTATTTTACTTTTTTGTTTTAATCTGCTAGCTTTTTAGGTAACCATTACTCAGTCTGGGTCTACTATTCCCAAACAGTAGAGAACTTCAGAGTTTACCCTCTCCTTTCAGACATTAAAAAAGTTACACCTGCCCTCAGCATCATGTTTGCGTTGAGCCAAACCATGAGACAAGTGATGGCCTCTCTATTGTCAATCATCAGTAGGAATGGCGTCATTTCTGGGCACACCTATTTGCCATTGTAAGTCCTTACAATGTTTACTACTGCTTATCCTCAAGATCTGCATCCATGGCTTTTTAGATTATTATTATTGCCTCTACTGGGGTGTGTGTGTGTGTGTGTGTGTGTGTGTGTGTGTGAAAGAGAGAGAGAGAAATTGGACTGTCTAGGCTAATAGTGCTCCCACCTAACAAAAATTTCAATACCAGACATAAGAATTCTTTTGAGTTCTTGGTCAGGGCTGTCCAAGAGACTCCCAAAACATTCAGCCTACTGCTATTTTCCTTGGATGCCTTGGGGAAGAGGTGAAAAGTAAGTTCCTATTGCTGAAAACACCAAGCACTTCAGTAACAGGGCTCACAGGCCCCTTAGCTGGAGCTGACCTGAATATCCCCTCCCTGAAGACTAGCTTCCAAACGGGAGAGGCAAGCACAATCCTACTTAACTATGATGCCCGTGAACCACATCAATGACCAGAGTGGCACAATAAGGGTGCAGTACCTGGTGGTAACCAACGGCTCTCTAATTGGACTTACTACCCACTCAGTAAGAGGGAAAGCTTGCCTGGTAATGGGAACCTAGCCAACTACCCAAGGCTAATGAAGTCGTGGTTATTGGAGGAGAATCTGTAACCACTAATTTACCAACCTAGCACAACCCCTAGCAACAACCTATAAACATCTGTCCTTGTGCCCACAGATAATTGTAGCCATCACTCCTCATCAAGGCAACTTCTCTTTGCAACAGATGGAGACCTCTACAGAACACCACAACCAACCGACATGCAGTGCAGAGTTAGGAACCCCAGTCCCGATGCATACATCCATAAAACACTCCCATACCTAAGGCTCAGGGGACATTGTGGAAGAGGAATGGAAAAGGCTGTAAGAGCCAAAGGATCAGCGAGTCTGCTATGAGACTGTGTCTCTTAGTAACATCAGAAACTACACCAACAGTGAGCTGAACAAGGAAGACACCAAACAGACATGCCAAAGTGAACAAGAAAGGCCCATGAGGCTTCAACCCAACACAAAGAACTACAGGCAGCGGAGGAAATCTCAGAACGAGAGAGGTGGTCTTCCCCAGAGAAGAGCATGCCAGTTGGTTGTCTAGTGCCAAACGGCCAGTCCCGAAAATATCCATGCAAATAACATTATACAAACTCAATGGGTTATATTTA